TTTAATTTATGTAATTTATGTTTTATAGCATTAAATTATATATATATTGCTAATGGAAATAGAAGTCCAGTGTGGATCCCTGCAGCAGCTAAACTCAGAGACTCAGTCTGCCCAGTATCTGCCCCTGATCGTGGTCTCCCCAGTTGCTTGCATCTGGATGTACCAACCCCTAAGGCTGCAGTTCCTCTCTGGTTGCCAGTGCAGTGCATCTTGCACACATGCACACACAGCTCCCCGGCTGTTGGCCAGGACCCACCTTGTCCCTGCAGTGGCCATACACTTCTGTAGTGACTCCTCCCAGGCCACTTCACCTCCTCACCAGCTACTCCAGCTTGCGCTTCACCAGTGCTCACACACTCGGCACCCACACCGGTGCTCCAGTTGCAGATGCTAAGGTCCCTTCAACCCTTGGTCTGATACCAGCTGTTGGCACTCACACACACCCCACCATCCACACAGAACAGAGCTTCTCACTCAGGTGAATAGAGAATAGTCGGAAATGAAATTTAGTGGACAGCAGGACAACTGATGAGATGTAGAGCATGGCCAGGCAAGAGTAGACGCTTGTTTGCAGCAGTGGCCCCTTGCTATCTCTCTATCCTTCAGAGAGTGGTATCAGCAGAAGAACTTTGCTCCGGGACTGTTAAGTTCTATGTATGGGCTGACCTCATATGGTCAATCCTCTGACCACATGAGGCAGAGTCAGCGGTGGCCACATTACGTAGCTTATAGCTTGGGTCAGTAAAGTAAAATCACTGTGCTGATTCTGGACCTAGTCTTGGGCAGAACTATACTTGGACACTAACTGAGGACTGCTGCACCAAGTTTTTATGTGATGCAGATGTGTCCAGCAAGTCATGGTACTGATGAAATTCGTTAGATTCAGCCTGTTCTGAAATGAACGTCCAGTAAGTCTAACTGAGCAGGTCATCAGTCAGCTATTGTTAGGATAAGGGTGGAGTAAAATCATGTTTCCACAGAGAAAGTGTTGAAACTGTGGATGTGGTTTACAGCAATGCAGACAGGAAGGGTATTTAAACCCCCCCCCAGTGGTATACTAATTGGTTCTGCAAGTGAAGCAACAGAAGAGAAGCCGCAATGCTGACTGTAGGACAAATCTGCATGCTTTTTGGCAGAAGCAAACTTCTATGGTTTCTGCTACAATTGGGAATGAGGGGTGGGAGTGAGATTTCTTTTCTGTGTTCTTTCCTTCTGATTGAAATACATTTTGAACAGCAAGCATCTCCTGTTTTGGGGGAGCTTTGGGAACTGTTTTCAACAATACATTGAAATGCAAGAAAAGCTGACACTAGATATAACTGCATCGCTTACTCTGTAATAATTTGAAATCTAAATACTGTGGTGAGTTCTCTGGACCAGCAAGTCTGAGGATGTAACTTTCTGCTAAATCAGGTAGGCTCAGTGCTCTGCTGACCCTTCTGCTGTTCTCTCTCTCTAAGCTCAGGGGTCACTAGGCTCAAACAGTTTTTCCTTAGTCCCCTGTGACTCAGCTGTTGCTTTCAGCACAGGTTTGGCTTGTGTCCTATAACTGCATTGTTTACTGCTCCCCAGGGGGCAAAGAATCAGAACAAAAGTATTTCAGAGGAAATATAGCATGTTTACTCACTAGGTACCTACCTGTTTCCTCACATGGTAGTAACTTCCTCCTGCAGCATATGACAGATACTATTCATTCCCTTTACTTCCAGGACACTTCTTTAACATGGTTTGTTAAAGAGTCTATCAGAAGCTGCCTAGTCCTTTGGTCACCTTCTCTTTTTCTGGGAAGAGTTAGTCTTTAATTTCTCACAACCTTTGATGCAATGGCTCTTTTAATTCAAAGAGGATTACAGCAATGCCATGTAATGATAACTTGATCCTGCACAAGGAAGACAGAGTATAGCTATCAGCTTCTAGGCTTTCATTGCCTGGCTGCAATAAATTGCAAGCTTTCATACATGAAGGCTGGCAATTAACACATTATAGATTGTGCTACCCAGCTATGCTCGTTGACTTTCATATACAAGATTGAGGTATTCTTACCTGATGCCACTGTCATCTCCCTTGAATGAAAATTATCAAATTTTCACAGGATGGATGATATTTAAATTAAAAAAAAAAATAAATTAAGAGAAGCTGTGTTTTTCAAAGCTTCCATGTGTCCTGCAATATTTCCATTATGGAGATTTTAAGTTCTTGGCACACGGAGCCTATGTACACTTCTTAGAACTATAGTAAGCAGAGTGCTGATGACTTCTGCTTGAACTACTCTTTATACTGTATCACACTGATAGGTTAACAGAAGGAATGAAGTGCTGGTAGCAATGGGAATGCAGTCCTGCATCTGTAAAAATACTAATTGCGTAGTATAGTTACTTAAGCGCTTGTGCACATAAAAGACACGTGCTTCATAAAGCACAGTATGTCTGCAGTCACATTCTATACTTCTGTTCCATGAAGTTTATCACAAACACATCTAAAGGAGACCTTCTAGCAGCCTTCCAATACTTAAAGGGGGACTACAAGAAAGCTGGAGAGGGACTTTTTACAAATGACAGGACAAGAGGAAATGGCTTTAAACTGAAAGAGGGGAGGTTTAAACTGGGTATTAGGAAAGAATTCTTCACTCTGGGAGTGGTGAGACACTGGCATAGGTTGCCCAGAGAAGCTGTGGCTGCCCCATCAGGGCGACAGTGTTCAAGGCCAGGTTAGACAGGGCTTTGAGCAACCTGATCTAATGGAAGGTGTCCCTGCCCATGGCAGAGGGGTTGGAACCGAATGTTGTTTGAGGTTCTTTCCAACCCAAACCATTCTGTGGTTCAGTGCTAAATCCTTTGTAGCTTTGAAATCTAGGGTGGAACAGGATGATCTGCTTGTTTTGTTTTGTTGTTTTGTTTTTTTTGGGGGAGTGGTTACTGCGTGCTTTTTCTTTTCCTCTTGTATTACATAAAGATTGTTCTTTGCACTTTTTTCAGTCTTCATTTTAGCTTCAGTATGAGTAACAAAAGAAGAGATATTTATTTATGTTACATACTTCCTTAAAACAGGTGTACAGGTCTTGTTTGGTGCAGGGAGAGCAGGGGAATAAGGAACCCGTTGTTATTCCTGAAACATTTAATTTAGGAAGCAAGAGAGGTTTTCCTACCTTTTTAAGTGGAAAATGTAAATTGACTCTACTAAGAGAGCACTAGTCCTAACAAGCAGTGTGGCATAGATAAGTTCATAGTATTTTCAGTCCACAATTCTCTCAAGAGATGGCATGTCATTCAGTATTTTCTTTTCAGCGACAGCTGTGACAGCCAGCTTGCCACTGTCCTTTTAGCAGACTGCACTCACAAGAAACTGAAGTTTAAAGAAGTTAATGCAGTGTCTGACTTCTAGAGCAGTGCAAGTTTAAGACTTTTTGCTGCAAAATAGCAAAACATGAGTCATTGCTGTTCTGCAGCCAACAGTCCACCAGGGACCAGCGTTCTTCATGACGGTAGGCTTAACAGCATTGGCAGCTTGCTATGAAATCAACTGGCCTTACGTTACACGTCCTGGAATGCTAAGCAGAAATTTCATTATTGTTGTAGCTCAGGGAAAAACCTGCTCCCTTGACCCCCCACAGTGTTTGACACAAGAATTTCCTAACAACCAGTAATGGAAAAGAAGTAACATTTGACTTTTGCATACATAGCATCTCCAGAGTTCTCATCTGAACTCCTGCCCTCTGTGCTGCCTGTTCCATGGGACCCACTGCAGATTATCAGAATGGGCTCCTTTCTATCAAGCTCCTAAACTGTTCAACAGAAAACAAGGAAGGATTATTTCTTTGGCAAACATCAACCTTAGAGACCCACAGACGCATAGAGCTACATCAGTGGCCATAGTCATAGTCCTTACACAGCTGTGATCACCAAAAGGGTTGTCAAGCATTGAAACACTGAAACAGGCTGCCCAGGGAAGTGGTGGAGTCACCATCCCTGGAGGTATTTAAGAGATGTGTACATGTGGCACTTGGGGACATGGTTTAGTGGTGGACTTAGTACTGCTAGGTTAATGGTTGGACTTGGTGATCTTACAGGTCTTTTCCAACCTCAACATTTCTATGATTCTGTGGTAACTGAATAGGAACAGCTATTGCAAAACAGTAACAGTTTGGTAAGTTACATGTACTACCACGTTACCTATATTTCAAAAACTCTTTTCGGTAAAAAGACTGTTTCTCCATGTTTCCCGAAGTTCTTGCCAGCTATTAACAGATGATCTTGCTAGCCAGGCTGTAAGTGAGCTACACTTCTGTGCATAGGTCAAGATTCCACAGCAGATTTCTTTTGTCTTTCAGGAAAGGATGTGGCTGACAGATGGTACAATGAAATAAAAAACTACAGCTTTCAAAATCCAGGGTTTTCTTCTGGCACAGGTAAGGTCAGACTGGGCACTGTCTCTTCAAAAAAACAGCTTTTCTGTTAAGAATTTGGTGACACAAGTTGTTTGATGTTTTTCCAAAATCTACCCTTTTTTTCCTTAGGAAAAAAAGTAAAGATGAAAAAAAATTTGCATTTCCTCGAAGTTTTATGTTAGAAACTGAGAGAAGGGTAAAAGGAAACTGAGAAGTGAGGAAGTAAGCAAATCTTGTGGGGTTTCTAATATTTTCCCTCCAACTCCAAAGTTTTTAAAAGGCAACTTATTTTTAAGGCGAATTAATCTGTAGAAAATACTAAATTGGGATCATATAGTTTCTTACTAAATGTACTGTGCTGTTGTTTACATTGACATGTGCCTTCTACCATATTATATCACTCCAATCACAGAGATCACTTCAGATATAATTTGGAGATCAAGAACAGGCCACTGGCTGCATATTGACAACCCAGTGTTGAATGAACATAAGAACATTGTTCCTTGAACAACGCTAACGCAAGAGAGATGCCTGAGCTTGTTTCAGATGAAGAAAATCATGCTTTGCTCTCACGGGATTTGTCTGTGCATAGAGGGAACAACTGATGGAGCAGCACAGTTGCAGGGGTGGCTACTACAACTAGGCAGAAGGAGCCACAAAACCAGTGTTATTTTTAACAGTTGCACATGCAGACACATGGGGGAGCATGAGATGGTTAAAGCAAATGCATGTTAGTCACTGCCAGAACTGCTGTTCACACTGCAGGGAGTAAAGACCTTGATGTCTTTGTTGAATTTTATATCAGATACTCATCAAATTACTTCTTTCTTGATTCTCCTACTAGGTATTCTTATTTGGACATGGAAATGGGAATGGTAGTGTGGAACCAGATCAGATCAGGCTTTTTTAAGACAAAATGCTAGATGTAGGGGTTTTTATGTTCTTTGCTTGTTCTTCCGTTAGAGAAACAGTTTTGTATTCTTCTTTCTTTCGCCGCCTCATGTGTGTTGAAGGGAGTGCTACAGATTTAGTACCTAAAATGAATGCCTGTGTTTCTCTCTTCAGGTCACTTCACAGCAATGGTTTGGAAGAGCACAAAAAAGATGGGAGTTGGAAAAGCATCTGCTAGTGATGGCTCAACGTTTGTGGTGGCTAGATATGATCCAGCTGGAAATGTAGTAAATCCAGGCTATTATGAAGAAAATGTCCTTCCTCCAAGAAAATAACTTCTTCTGGGTTTTTTCCTTTTTCCTTTTTTCTTTAAAGGTAGCCTTATTGCTTAATGACAAGTGACCCTGGATTTGGACTTAACAGTGTTTGAAATGAAGCATGATTCAATGAAATTTCCTGTTTGATACTGCTGTTCACTTCTCATTACAGAGGAAGCAATTACATATTGCTCGAGTCAATCTACACATTAGGTCCTTCTTGTTTCTGAGGGAGCTTCAGTTTATCTGAGGATGAAGTATATGCAGAATTTCTGAAGGGTAAAATTTACAAGTTGTTTTCTTTTTAAATAGCTTGCATGAACTCTGTGTCAGCATGTGAGTAAGCCACATGTTGGATGACTTTTTTTAAAGCGAGAACATTTATAGCTTTCTGTAAACTGAAGATACCAGCTTGTAATTATATTGTGCTCCCAGTTTTCCAGTGTTTTTTTAATAACTGTAACTTCTTTGTTCTATCTATACCTCCTGCTACTGTGGGGCCTTCTCTCTGCAGATGGAACATATGCAAATCTTCCTGTATGAAAGGTACAGTGTAAAATGTAGTGGCAATCAGACCTACATTTCTTTATTAAGAGGATCTCACAGAGCACTAAAATATTGCTGGAAAAATTGTATCCATCAAACAAGCCATAACTAATGCATGACTTGAAAGCTACTAGAATTGTTTAAATCTCAGTTACATTTTAGGTGCTAATAGTTAAAATCCATTTGAGATGCGTGTGCTTCAAGTTCAGATCCTGTCTCACAGTTTAAAGTATGTACATTGTCTCATATTCATTTGTTTACTTCTGTTACAGGAAAGTAAGATGCTTTTTTCTCTTAGATATTTACGCACAAAGAAGTTTCTTTGATGGATTTTATTTCTCAATAACTTATTTTTATTTTCTAAGGAATATCTTTTGCATGTGTTATGCTATACAGACAATAACATTCCCAAAGCATCTCTTGTCTCCTTTAATAATGCCACAGTAGGAGGTATTCACATGGTCATGATTAAGAGATTCACATGATCTTTGTTCTTATCATTCAGTAACAGTAAAAATATTTCACATGCTGGATTGATGCCTTAAAATAAAAAAAGATCAGATTGAATTTACTTAAAAGCAAGCAAGCAAAATTCCGAAGGACATTTTTTTTCTCTTAAGAAACATAGATCGGGCCATTCTGGCCAGGCTCATGTACTGTTTGATTTGGGGTTTTGTTTTCTTTGTAAATGTTTCCTTTGCCTTCTGCTGAGATTCTGTATGGCAGAATTTGGTTCATGAAGAGTGCCATTAAAGAAATACTTATTTTTGTTTACACAGTTGTAATAAACTGCACTGTTATGACTTGATTATATGTCACTGTGATGTTGTATGTTACAATCCTTTTTCTGTAACCAAGAATTGAACACATTTAATGAACATCTGAAAACGAAATATTTTTGAATATGAATTACTCAAGCCTTTGCTGTTACCTGAGTCTTCGTTGAATAATCTCCAAACTTTATTTCCAGGACATTAGCATATGGCACAATTACTTTTGCAACATGGAGCAAATAGTATTCTAGTCCAGGAAAAAAAAGATGAAACCTTCTAAGAAATGCTAAATCAAATGGCAGATGTTACATCATCCCTTTATAAAAAGATTGAGCTAACCCTTGGAGCTGAAGCTGAGGAGGCGTACCTCTTTCTGTCTTGAACTCCTGCTTTGTATCTTGTTTAATTTCTGCGCTCCTTCTCTCAGTTGACATGTTCTTAGTAAAGCATACCCACTCAGCTCCCACTCAGAAGTGTGTGTTTCAGTAACTGCAGTCTCGGGACCTTCGTCTCCTCAGCCCTCAGCTGACAAATGTTGCAGCTCCAAATAGACTAACGTTCTACATGCAGTGCATTAGCATCATAGAATCATAGAATAGTTTGGGTTGGAAGGGACCTTCAAAGCCCACCTAGTCCAATCCCCTGCAATGAGCAGGGACATCTTCAACTAGATCAGGCTGTTCAGAACCACATCCAGCCTGGCCTTGAATGTCTCCAGGGATGCCTCATCTACCACCTCTCTGGGCAACCTGTGCCAGTGTTTTACCATCCTTATAATCCTTGAGAATGAAACCAGGACTTTCTAAAAGGAAGAAAGGTGTGCCGTGACTAACATAAAGGTAAAAACTGATGTTAAATAAATCAACAATATTGAAATATTCTGTTTTTTCCTAATGACATTGCTGCTGTTGGCCCTATAATTCCTCGAATTGTTGGCATAAGACTGTATATATCCTACATTAGTGAGTCAAGTCAGAATTCTGCTCTGCTGCCACCTAGTTTTTGTTTTAATGTCAGAGAGAACTGGGAAGGTAGGTAAACAGAGGACACAACAAAACAAACCAAAGCTTGTAGTTATCTTTGTTTCAAATGGTAGTGGCGAATGAACTTCCAGAGCTTTTTAGACAGAGCGTTTTGAGGAGGCATCAGAGGTAATCAGAGATGGAAGAAGCGCAAAGCCACTCAAAAAGACACGCTGCACGCTTCATGCACTACACAGGGTTCATGCAAGTAAGTATGATTGTAACAACTGAAAAAAACCCTGTCAATTTAATTCTTCATGGCCCAACAACCATGGTGTTGATGCCTTTTGCAAATGAACAATCACTGTGCAGGAAACTGTGGTGTATGTAGGAGTCGAATCCAAAGGGAAGAGTAACACTGCTGATGTGACTTACTCAAAAGCCATATGATTTTGGGGAAGTGTACACTGAAACCTGACTTAGCAGCCATCTGTATTAGAAGACTCTGTGTCTTGGAGACATCTTGGAGAGTTGTACAGATTGGGAGGTGCGAAACAGAGGTTATCTGCGGTCCTGTTACAGCAGAACAAGGTGTTCAAGAGCTTCCCCTGCTAGGGTTGTACAAGTCATGTTTGCCCTGGGAATAAAAAACCAGGCTGATCTGACAGCTATGATACCAGAGAAGATCACCTATCTTTAGAGGCCTGCAGATGGTTTCGAAGGTCTTTTTTGCAGCAGCAGGAGGAGGAGGAGGAGGAATTCTAGCTGGTCGAGGCTTCATTTGCAATCTTCTCTGTTACACAGGAACAAAACACTTAGGAAAGAACTGGGACCAGTCTTAAAAAAAGTGCTAAGGAAGGAAGCCTGTGTTACACATCTTAATTTGCCAACTTCCATCCTTTATCTTCCCAAAAGGACAAAACTCGGGCAATTCCTCTTCCAAAGAGTGGAAAATGACATTGAGAAGTGGTAGAAGTAGTGTTAGAAGACCACAGATCAGACAGAAAGCCACATCGCATGAACAATAAGAAGCCCATGGGCAAAAAAGATGCAAACACCTGGAGGAAGTCTTGCAAACTGTACTTGGGAATGCTTTGCTTTCTGCAAGCTCAGCCACTCTGCTTGTCCCCAGCTTTAATTTTTCAGGTGTGCCCCAAAGAGCAGTCTGCAGGCTGAGCAGCCCCTCTTTGCTCTGCTCCTTCCCAGACACTTCTTAGTTCCTCTGTTCCTTCACAGAGAGTAGGAGCTCAGTTCCTGAGTAGTAGCTGAGTTCACCCTTGCACAAGCCAGCAGCCACTGTGAATCTTCCTGGCAAGGTTCCTCTTTTGACCTGGTTTGCCTTCTTGAGCAGTGCTGTCGGACCCTGCCTACTGTATCCTTGAATAAGAAATTTTATGCTCTCTGCTTTAGCTCAAACACTAGTTCCTCTGTCTGTCCTGGGCTGTCTGTCCCAACTTGTCTAGCAGGTTGCTGAGCAAGACAGGATTCCACGAACCTTGTCATCGATGCAAAGAGATGCAGTTGGCTTTCAGCTGTGCCAGGTGAACTGTAAAGAGGTCTGCAGAGAGCAAGGTACACGAAAGCATGGCCAGGATGCACAGCAGACCCCGCTAATCCGCAATGCCTGTGGGCAGCTCAAAGCCCCATCCAACCTGGCCTT